CAACTATTAATGGTATATTTTACCACCATAAATTGGTTATTATAACCAACTATTAATGGTGTATTTTACCATCATAAATTGGTTATTATAATCATCAACTATTAATGGTGTATTTCACCATCATAAATTGGTTATTATAACCAACTATTAATGGTGTATTTAACCACCATAAATTGGTTATTATGACCAACTATTAATGGTGTATTAAAATGGTTAAAACTACCAATTAATAAATGGTCATTACAAGCATTGGCAATTGATTACCACAGATCCACTTTTCAACCATTTTTTTGTGATAGATTCAACCAAACCATTTTTACAGTGTACACACAAGATGGTTAAGCAGCCAATATGGTATCTTAACGTCGAACTAGTTAATTGAATTTAGAAAAATCTAGTATCATCACCTTTCTCTTCTATCTTATCGTTTATTCTCTAGCATGCATAAAAGATATGGTAATTATGTAATATAATGTACTTATCTTCGTATCACTTTCACTCATTTATTTTTTACCTTCAAAAATATTCTTTATTCGTGATGTTTCAAAATTTAAGCACTTCTTAAAATTATTGAATTAAAAGTTTATTTTATTTTAATTTCGATTTTAATCAAATATCGAGCTTCTAATCTTGCCTTGCCTCGCCTGACTTTACTGTTTCCCCTTTTGTTTCTCGAGAAGATATTCATAGAAGAACTTGAACATGGTTCCCAAGCTTTCTTTCAAGCTGGCATTCTTTGGGTGTTTACTTACTAGTTGGCCGTTGATAGGGCAGCGTTGAAAACTCATTAGGTTTCTTGGTCTAGCAAAATTAATTATGCCTGATTGATTGGGCATTTTTCATTTTGTATTCTTTTTCTTCTTTGTCTCTATTTCACCTATTCTTTTCTTTTTCCTTTTCTTGATTTTCTGTTCTTTCCTTTGTTTCCACTCCTTTCCCTTTATTTATTTTCTTAATGTTTTCTTTTATTTCGTTATTTCGTTTAAGTGATATATCATCGAAAATAACTTCCTTTATCGGCACATATTTTCGTTTTGAATCAAAGAAAAACGAATTACTCTGTTTCCATGTTTTTCTCAGTCAGCAGCCATAATTGCTAATTTTTGAGTTATGTCGATGGGTGCTCGCAAGCAGATTTAAATCACAGGATGTAACAGGGTTTGTGTGCACAAAAATAAGAAAATGCAGGAATAGATAGGCCTTTTCGACTTGGGCGTAAGATTTTCCCATTTCAGACCACGTGTCATTCCCTAACATTTCTTTGTTTAACGGTTGCACATGAGAAGAAACACAATGATCGATACAACTCAAACGAAGAATCTTATTCTCAAGGGAATGACACGTGGTCTGAAATGAGAAAACATTACGCCCAAGGCAAAAAGGTCTATTCAATGAACGAAGGCGGAGTGAATTGAATGGTTGATGGTGAACGAACGAACAAATGACGCACGAAAGAAAGAATGAATGAATGAATGAAAGAGTGAATGAAAGAACACTGAAATCAATGCACGAAAGAATGAATTAAAGAATGAATGAAAATGATATATCCTTAATTAAATAAATGAATGAAAATCCTATAAGGAACAAGGTGGATATTGAATACGAATCCAACATTTTTATTTATAAACAAAACAATATGTAGATAAGAAATGTACTTTTTTGAAAATAGAAATTTTGTTCACTTTCTACATATTAACCAACATCTTCATCTGACAGACATTGAGTGGCGGATCCAGGGGGGGTCGAAAGGGTCCACGGAACCCCCCCTTGAAGGTTTGATCTTTTAGGTAATAGAAATATGTCTTATATAAATTTTAATAAATTTTAATTTTTATATTTTTATAATGTTAATTTACCTTTAAGTTCCGTTACTAGATAGTAAATTAGGTGATTAGAGCCAATTTTTTTGTCAAACATCGACTAAACAAAAGAGAATTATACATAGTTTAAGAAACGGAACCCCCCTTTGAAAAATCCTGGATCCGCCACTGACAATGATGGTGCAACTGTGTACGAGAACCCTGTGTGATATAATCTACAAAGAACAGGGCTATATTTGCATTATGGCTCTATAACGTTTTATTTTTCGCAAAGAGAAAAAACACTAAGATACGACCTAGATTTTTTAATTAGATCGCCTGCAGAAATTGCGATAACCATTTATTCTTTATGCAATCCGTTGGGATTGAATTAAAAACAAACGCGACCAGATACTGCTCAGTGTGAATGATTGCAGCTTGTCAAAAATATTTTTTATTTTTTTAAATTTTGTTTTCATTACTAATGTATCGGATTTGTTTCAACTTTGTAGAAAAATAAAATAATTCATAGTCACTGATAATTCCGTGAAAATTTGTACTTTCGATAATCTGTTTGAAAATGAATTTTCTATGAACGACAATCTTCAGCATTTTATTAAAAACAGAAAATCAACTGTTAAAATCCAAATTTGTCATACCTACCTTTTTAAAAAAAACTTGTCTTTCAGGATCAAATCTCTTGTCTTTATAAAATTTAGTCAGCCAAAAAGCTGGTTAAATTTTCACATTAATCAAAGTCAGAGAGAAGGAGGCTGCGCCAAGTTGGTTGTTTGTCTGTTCAAATCCACTGAGTGAATTATCCTGCGTGGCGGCCCTCAATAAATCGTGGGGTTGAGATTCTCCCTTCTCCCTCCCCCTCCCCCCTACTTTCCAGTCCCCCTTCGAATCCCAACCCCCTAATTTATTGAGGGCCGTTACGCAGTCTACTAGTGAATATACTGATAATCTCATTAAAGCCGACACAAATCCGTCAGTATTGATTATCAACGTTTATCGTCGGTAATGTTTCTATAATAATTCATTTGTCTAATCCATTTTAACCACGATTCAATTCGTTCATCTCCTTTTTTTATCTTCCGCTGCAAAGCCGATTAAATTGTCTCGAAAACTTATTTTAAGGTTTATCACACACACACACATCTAATATTTTCAATTTATATAATAGTGTAATATACTTATACTAAGTACTGTGGTCTGATAAGAAAAGGAAGTGCAAAACGGAAGAACAAACTTTGCTCCTCAAATTCCATTAAAATGACAAGGTCAGGTGTTTTGGTTCTATCAGCCATTTCGTTCTGTTTGCCCGTTAATTTATCTGAATCAAACCCAATTTTTGTTTGTTTTACATCAATGGGGCTTTTTAGAGACTTTTGTCAGTTGAAGAGAAATTTCTAGCATGAAATTCAGTCGTTCTCGTCAACAGGACTACTAATGATGAAATCCTTTGGGCTGTTTTGGTACTTGTTGGATCAGAGCGGAAATCATTTGCACTACTAAAATAAACTGACTTTACTGCACAACAGCGAAAAGATAGAGATTGACTTGTATATGTATTACGGTCTTTCTTTCTTTCTTTCTTTCTTTCT